TCTTCCGATCTCCCCAAAACCCCAAAACCCCAAAGTTCAATATTTAAAATGGCTATTTAAATTTAAGATTATAGAATAATATACATCATCCAATAAATTATTAAATCAATGATGAAAATATTTTCTCGTGCAGCAATAAACAGTACATAGAATTTGAGAAAGTCTATATTTCCTATATAATCTGCAGTAATTAAGGTCCTTTCATAATCTTTAGTTCAATCATTCTACTAGCAAAGATAGAAAGTTATAAGAAGATGCACTCAGATAGAAGCTAAAAATAAAACAATAGATGAGTTAGGAAATTAAAGATATAAACAGGGATATTGGCAAAAATTTTGAGAGTGGGTATACTACAAATGAAATTAGAAGGGAAGTAAGAGTTAGATATGCTCCTAGTCCCACAGGAGATCTGCATATTGGAGGCCTAAGGACAGCTCTCTATAACTATCTATTTGCCTAAATACACAAAGGAAAATTCATTTTGAGAATTGAGGACACAGATAAAGTAAAGAAATACTTTGAAATGATCAATATTTTTAGACGAGAGAAGTTCCAGGCTCAATAGATAGAATAGTTGATATGCTTAGTTGGAGTGGATTGAAATGGGATGAGGGACCAGGTTCAACTTAGCAAGTAGATATAATTTAAAATGAAAAGGAAAGATATGGTCCTTTTGGTCCCTATATATAATCTCATAGACTAGATCATTATAAGCAATTTGCTGATACTCTACTTGAGGTATGCTCTATTATTATCATAATTTTAGAATAAAGATGCTTATCACTGTTTCTGCACTGCTGATAGATTGAAACAGTTGAGATTAGAGCAAGGTGGAGATAAGCACTAAGCAACAAAATATGATCGATTTTGTTTGAATCTATCTCAATCTGAAGTGCAAGAAAAAATTGAAAGAGGGGATTAATATGTTATAAGAATGCTAGTGCCACATGGCTCTACTGAGTTTAAGGATATTATTCATGGGAAAGTTGTATTTAATCACAGTGTGATAGACGACTAAGTATTGCTTAAGTCTGATGGATATCCTACTTATCACTTGGCTAATGTCGTTGATGACTACCTAATGAAAATATCTCATGTTATTAGAGGTGAGGTAAGAAATTACTGTTTCAATTCAAACTTAACAGGAATGGCTTTCATCTACTCCAAAACATCTACTTCTATACAAGATGCTTTAGATTGATCCACCTGAATTCGCACATTTGCCACTTATCCTCAATGAGAAGGGTTAAAAACTTTCTAAAAGATTCGGTGATGTATCTGTGTAGCAATATAAGGATCAAGGCTATTTGCCAGAAGCTTTAATTAATGGTCTAGCATTACTTGGATGGAATCCACCTCATAGAGAAGATCCAGCTGTCTTGCAGTAATTAAGTAGTGTATTCTTAAAGCATGAAGTTCTCAATTGGAAAGACCTTCTTGGAACTGTAATATTTCTTTTAATTAATAATCTTACAGTTTGATTTGGATAAAGTTGGAAAATCAGGAGTTAAATTCGACAAGAATAAGTTAGAATATCTTAACTCAATGCACATAAGGAACAAGTTTGAGTACTTCGATGAATTAGAATCAAAGAAATGCGTTAATTCTTGGAGGAAAATGCTATTAGATACACTGCCTAAAGAGTATCATGCTGCCATTAAGAGATTGAATGAATTGAAGATGAAGAAAATTATGGAATTAATGAAAGTTAGGATACATTTCTTCGCTGACATGAATCAACACACCTACTTCTTTGAAGATCCAGACTATGAGAGTATTCTATCAGAGAAATTCTAGAAGAAGTTGAAGTAGCCTCATGGTATGAAAGTAAAAATTCTAGCTTAATTGAAAGAGTAATTTGAAAAAGTATAAGAAACTAAATTTAATGCAGAAGCCTTAAATAAGTAATGCTCTCTTTACCTATACGAAAACAGCAATTAAGGAGTAAAGAATGAGGATCTTTTCTCCTTGCTTAGATTCATCGCAACTGGAAATCCAGTTGGAGCCCCAGTAGGCGAGATTTTAGAAATAATTGGAAGAGATACTACTATTAGCAGGATAAAAAATGGAATTAAGTACTTTAAAGAAAAAGCCGAAGAGTCAAAAGAAGAAAATGAATGAACAGAGATTTATGGATTAGATTTGCTAAAAAATGACTTTTATCCAATTAATTAATGATAATTTAAGCTAATATTTACAACCATTTTACACTCGAAAGCTTTTTAATATCTTCTCAATCAAAGAGCTCACCAAGCTTTTTGAAAATATTTTCATAATTCAGTTTGACGCTTTCACATTGGTTCTGCTCTTTACTGAAAATTTTCTCATTAAGCCTTTCCAACTCCTCTAATTATTCATACTACTGCTAAAGAAAATCTTTTTCTTTGTTCAGATCCTCAATTGCCTGTCTTATTATTTCTCTTCTCCTTTCTTTTATCTGGTGTAAGGTATTAAGCATGATTTGCAATTCAGCAGGTTATTCCTAGCTTTCATTCTCCTCGGAGTTATTTCCATTAATCTACTGATTTTATTAAAGGAAAGACTCAATAAAGTTCATTTAAAATTTTCTAATGCTTAATTGAAATCTCTTAGTTATGCAAGCTATATGGGGTTTTGGGGTTTTGGGGTTTTGGGGTTTTGGGG